GGTCGATGATGCCAAAAAAAACAACTACATATGGATAAACAAAAACACACACCAACACACAATTAGGGGGGGGGGTAGACACAAGAACGTTGGAGGGCAGCAATGGAAGGTGTGGAAAGGACGATGAGGGGGGGGGGGTAGACACAAGAACGTTGGAGGGCAGCAATGGGAGGTGTGGGATTGACGATGGTGCATGCGGGATAAGGCAATCGACTGCGCGGTTCGAAATCCCATCCCACAAGAACGGACGTAATACTTCCCCCAATACTGCTGTGAGTGAGAAAGAGCCCACAAGCTTGTCCTGTTCTCGAAAGAAAAGCCGCCGTCTCAACGAAGGACGTACGTAAGTTTCTCCCCACTCACTGTAACCCAGCCCGTTCCGACAATGTTATCATCTCAAACAGGTACACTTTCTTTGATTGTACACGCATACTTCCTAAAACAAAAAATAACGTGTCCGCACTTGTCGAAAATGGCGGCGAACATGATCGCGTCTTGCTCCCTCAGCAGGGAGCGGGCCTCTCGCAGCTGTGACACCAGCGATGTTACGTCCTCAGCCGACATGGAGTCATCCGCCGACCCCCCTTCCTGCTCGCCTTCGCCAAGCACCCGCTTCACGGCGCAACGCATGCCCTTCATCTGCGCGCGCGACGTGACAAGCAAGCGCATTGAAAGCGTGCCGACGTTGTTCAATAGTGGTCACGTTTGTCGTTTCGTCAAGAGCAACATCCGTTCTGCCGACCTGCAAAAGATGCACACTGTGGTACATACTGTTACGCATACATAGAGGTCCACACTGCTGTGTACACGTTCACGTGCTGGCGTGACAGCGGGTTCAAACGCCACATGGTCCCCAGAATCGTGCTGAGTAAAACGTATTGTGACACGCGGTATTTTCGTTCATCTGTCTGTCTCACGGCACACGCGACAAACACGGACCCCGGCACACGGCAGAGTCTGATCTGATCTGCGGAGAGAAAAGACCGATAGCAACAATGACAACGAACACAGCAACAGCGGCAACGAACACAATAATAACGATTGCAACAACAGCAGCAACAAACAATTCTATTACAGCAACAACAGCAGCGGCAGCAACAACAAAGCAACCAACAGCACAATATAACATCAGTAGTGGCAGCAACAACAACAGCAAACAGCGAACACAACAACAGCAGTGGCAGCAACAGTAGCAGCAGCAGCAGTAGCAGCAGCAGCAGCGGCAATTTCAGAAACGATCTTCTCACCTGTCGTGCATTCTCCTCCCCGAACTGCCTCTCCAGCCAATCCGCCGGCATGCCCTCGATCACTTCCTCGGCCAGGGGATCCACGGACATCCTCCCCCCCCAGATACCGCCTCCCTCTATCGAACCCCTCTCGGCGGACACGAGATCCCCGTGGCGGTCTTGGTAGTCTTTAAGTTCCATCACCTCTCTCTGCCACCACAGGGGAGGGGAGGATAGGATAGTGCACCAGTTAGCACGAAATAACTCTCTGCTCTAGTTTTGGCCAAGGCTGAGGCTATTAAAGAGTTTCTCTCATGGGGTTCTTAGTTTCTCTAGTAGAGATCTTATTTCCTCTTGTGGAGTTCTTATTTTCTCTAATGGAATTCTTATTTTCTCTTGTAGAGCTCTTAGTTTCTCTTATGGAGTTCATGTTTTCTCTTATGGAGTTCTTATTTTCTCTTATGGAGTTCGTATTTTCTCTTATGGAGTTTTTATTTTCTCTTATGGAGTTCGTATTTTCTCTAATGGAGTTCTTATTTTCTCTTGTGGGGTTCTTAGTTTCTCTAATGGAGTTCATGTATTCTCTTACGGAGTTCTTATTTTCTCTTATGGAGTTCGTATTTTCTCTCATGGAGTTCTTATTTTCTCTTGTGGGGTTCTTAGTTTCTCTTATGGAGTTCTTATTTTCTCTTGTGGGGTTCTTAGTTTCTCTAAAATGGAGTTCCTTATCTTCTCTTAAGGGGTTCTTAGTTTCTCTTGTGGGGTCGGTCCTTAACCGGGTTCCCAAATGGTGCTCAAGCTCGAACATATCGAGGTTCAATTTTTTGACTGCCTCGAGTGTGGGCGTTAGCTGTACCAAACGATGAGATGGGCACGACGGTAGCTGCCATAGGTGACATAACATTACACAAGACACCACTCCCTGGACCGATTTTCAAAGCTCGACTACACCACACCATGCCATACCATACCATACCATACCGTACCGTACCGTAGGTTGCACAAATTACCACACTCCCTGGATAGATTTTCAAAGCTCGACTACACCACATACCATACCTACCGTAGGTTGCATAAGACGCAGCACTCCCTGGATAGATTCTCAAAGCTCGATTGCTCCACGAAGAAGAGGATGCCAAAACAATACCACGTTTTCGGAAACATTTCGACGAGATGGTTCCAACGCCATCATATTCGTCGCCGCCACTCCTTCCGCTTTGAAAATCGAGTAGTCGAGCTTTGAAAATCGGTCCAGGGTGTGTGGTATCTCGCGTCATGTCACCTACTACTGCGCAGCGTAAACTCAACGCAGAAAGCTCATAGAGGGATCCGGACAACCCTAGAGTCACCGTGTCAATGTTTTGCCGGCTGAAACATGGCGGGAGCTCGTCAAGCGTGCACAAAAAAACAAACAGACAGGGGTGGTTTGGAGGGCACGGAGAAAACGTGGTTTGTGTCTCCGAACGGCAAAAAGTCGGCTGCTTGAGAGGAGACGTGAGTACCAAACTATCCAGCTCTCGCTGGTTAGACCATCGATTCATGTTTTGTCTTGTTGGGTGTCTTCTCCATCAACGGCTCTCATCCGGGTGTGCGTGGTTCAGCAGTGGACGTACTCAACAGGCAGGGAGGCGCGTCGCTGTGAACTCGATGTGTTGAAAAAATCATTTTTGGGACGGAGGAACAAGCCCTCTATTCAAATGAAAAAATAGACCGAAAAAAACGTTGTGTCCACAACTTTGCGCGCACAACGATATGCCCCCCTGGCGACTCAGTACGGCCGCTGCTAACCCACGCGCAACCGGATGAGACTCGTTGATGGAGAAGACACCCAAGAAGACAAAAAATGAAGCCATGGTCTAACCAGCGAGAGCTGGATAGTTTTGTACTCACGTGTCCTCTCAAGCGGGCGACTTTTTGCCGTTGGGAAGCGCTGACGCACGTTTTGGTCTCGTTTTGACACCGAGAACATTTTTTCTCGCACGCCCGGAGCGCTATCGCCACATATTGGCGGGCACAGCATCAGCTCAGTGCATCAAGGGTTGTCGGTAGCCCTTTGCGAGCTCGTTACGTTCAGTTTCCATGACGCATTTGTGGTTTGTCTGTCACAAATCGTTTGGTAGCAGTAGACCACGATTCCCGCCGCACTTCTGATGCATTCCGAGAAAACCACACGATCAGATATTTGTGCGCATAAAAACGGTACTCCGATGTTCCTCTGGCAGATACTCGCGCGCAAACGCTTGGCAACATTTGAAGATTTATTTCCAACATTTTGAAATCATAAACATTGGGTCTAACTGCTCTATGTAGCTACACAGCACGGGGAATTTGAAGGGCAGGGTACCAGTTTCGGGCCCACACAGCATTAGTATTGAAACGTGCGCATGCCCCCCCGAGTCAAACATCTCGGTCACCTGGAGGTCTTGCAGCATGTTTCTCAGCGCGAAGTTCTCCCCCTCCAGCTCCCCCACCTTCGACTCAGCCTGGTTGTTGAGCACGGCTCCGAGAGGGTGCTTACCCGCCTCTGTTGTAGCCGCCCCGGGGGATAGCTCCAAGTTGCTCTCGATGCCTCTGCTGGCGCACGTAAAAAAAACAAAAACAAGATAATCATGGAGTACCTAATGGTCGATTCGATTCAGCCAACCGCAATCAAGCCACCCTCGAACGCGTGGTCTCCTGTCATTTGTACGGGTGCAGGTATGTTCTAAACGGAAGTCTCAGCTTTCGTTCAGCCAATGATAAAGAAAGAAGGACGAAGCCAAAAAGATAGGCTTACAGACAAACAGACAACAGGACACAAACACAGACACACAGACAGACAAAGAAAGTAAGGGCGGAGGCAACCAGCCAAACAGGCAGACAAACAAGACAGACAGACAGAGATAAAGAAGGACGAAGGCAAACAGACAGGCAGACAGACAGCCCGACGGACAGACAGAAAGACGGACAGACAGACAGACAGACAGACGCAGGCAAGCAGACAGGCAGACAAGACACAAGTACCTACCTGCACTTGCTGCCGCCCTTCCCTGCTCCCCGAGAGACAACACCGCTGCCTTTCTCCACTGCACGCCTAAGAGAGTCCTGCAGCCTTCCGTACTCCACTTCCTTCTTGCGGATCGACGCCCGGTACTGGGTGTCCCGGCTCTCCAGCTGAACACACCGCGTCTCCAGCTCCTACGGTCGGCGCACCAAACCAACAGGCCCGCATAAGATTGCCGTGCACAGATTCATAGACAGGTCGCATCGACTGCGCGACATGGCTGGCTAGGAAACCGGCGATCAAACCGGAGTGTATTGGAATACATCGTGGTTTCTGAGTAGCCTTCCACAGATGAACGGGACCCCCATGAAACCCGCGAATGATGCGGTACGTTCCGTCCCTCCCGATGGCTTCGGCAAAAAGGTCAAGCTCGCACAGCAAACACGGCACTGGTTAATTGTTGTCTTCACATAAAAAGACGTTCCGGTCTCTACTCAGTGTGCGTGTGTGTGTTCGTCCATCTATTCTGGCGGCGGTTTACAGGCCTTTCGGCGTATTTACCATACCTGCCGTATCAGCCGGGGTCACACAAGAGGAAATCACACAGGAGCTTTTTCATCGTCTTGTTTTGTTTTATTGCCCCACCTTTTTCCCCTTGCGGTGCTTGCCTTAGTTATTATCGCGAGAAGGGTTCAGCCATCCCTTTTCCTCGTCGACTACGGAGCCGAAGTTTGTTTTCTCACGACCTAGATCGCTGTCATCAGCAGTACCTTCTATAATACTATCCGTGCTGGTCCAACTGACACGGGCGTCTCGTGTGGTCACGGACCAGCTATCTACCCCAGTAGCATGCGACCGAAACTTCCTGATACATGCGTGGCAACAACAGCAAGTGCACACACGATACGAGTATTCCCTACGACAAAGAGAGGTGAGGGATGAGGGAAGGGTTGCACCGCAAGCAAGGCCACACCTTCTCGCCCTCGCTTGTGCCGCACTACCCTACCACCAAAAAAAGGTGATGGTTGGGTTGCACCGCAAGCCAAGCCCCCCCTCGCTAGTGAGGCACTACAGGTACTACTTAACGACAAAAAAAGGTAAAACAAGGTCTACACCGCAAGCCAAGGCTCCCCTCGCCGGTGCGGCACTACTACTTAACGGCAAAAAAAGGTGAAGGAAGAGCAGCGTGGTACCTGTTTGTGCACGAACCAGCGCGCGCGCTCCACACGGTGCTCCTCCCCTTCCGCCCTCCCACGTCGCTCGAGGGCCGACCTGTCTTGCTCCGAGCACTCCAGCCTCGCTGTCAGCGCCTTGTTGTCGTGAGCGGCCTTGGTCGCCTCCGCCTCGCGGCGCCTGAGCTGGCTGCTCAGGGTCTCCATCGTGGAAAGGTGGCGTGCTCGCTCCGACAGGAGCTCGTGGAGGCAATCTTCGAGGCCCGGCAGCTGAGAATGTGTTTGGCGGGGTGGGGCCGGTACGGGGGGCGGGGGGGGGGGGGGGGGGGGGCC